AGACAAAATCGAAACATGAATAGGGGGACCTCTGTATACATGTTCATCTTCATAAGGAGTTTCAATGTCAGTCGACACATGAGTCTGGTCAATCCGTGATTGAGGAATCTCATGATCATCATTGCTTACCACAAGAGGTGGAAGCAGAATAGGCATGCCCCAAGGGTAAGCAGCTGAATTACCATTGGTCATGGGCACAACAAAAGGTTGATACGGAACAAAGGCATTACCACTAGCAATATGAGGAGTAAAATTTAGGGGCATTCCCCCATGGAAAAAGCAGCAGGCATCCTATTCGTACCAGATTGAGCATTTGGTAGATTGACAGTAGGTTGAACAACAATCTCAACCGACACTTCAACAACAATAGGAGAAGAAGTAACAGTAGGAGGAGAAATCACCACAAGGGTGACCACAGTTGCACCAATAACAGTTGCAACAACAAAAGTAGCAACAACGACGTCCTTCTAAGCACAAGGAACTCCATGATAACATCCATATTGGTGTGGAACTGATCCATCCGACCCTGAAAATGAGACAAAATCTCCTTGTAGGCAGCATTCTCTTGTTCAATATCAGCAATGATCTTGGACTTGCTTGAGCGAGTGAAATAGCGATGTCGATTCGTCGTCTTGCTACAAGGCGGAAACGAAAAGTGTAAGCAAACTGATCTTTGGATGAAGGGCATGCATATGCGTACATGATGGAATGTAATTCATGTACAAATAACTTTTAATGCATATGCAAAATTGATTGAACATGATGAAATGATATGCAATAAACCAGCACAGTCTGAATAATCTAGATGATTTGCATATAACTCTGCTCAGGTACAAAGGTTGGATGTGATAAGAGAGCAAATGGTATGAAGAGTCTTGGTTTCCTGCAGAAAAACCCAATATCCCCATCACAGGTGTGATCTAGTATTGAACAAGGGTCCTGATGGTCCTCAGCTTCTCAGGTCGGGAAGTAATAACACGTTCACCATTTCTGGTTTGACATTATTACCCTTCAATGAGGCCTCCATTGATTTCCAATGACCGATCTCCAGAGTCATAAGTTCTCTAAGTCAAAATCCTATCATTTACACCAGACGCGCAGGATAGAATATCTCCAAAGAAAACCTCGCCTGAATGTGGATTTCGTGTAAACTAAACGTGGCCAGACGCCATGCGAGCCACAATGCTCTCCACTCTAACCCTATGTGTATGCTTAAGCATGGGTAGTGGGCTTATCTCTCAAGTAACAAACCATCCCAACAACATCATAATATAGCAGATACCTAGAGTATGTAACATATGAATATTTAAAGCAGTAAAGAAATGTAGTAAATAACATAAAGATAAAGCAAGTAAAGTATAAAGATAAACACCCAAGCAATGAAGAAAGCAAACAAAACTAGGCGAGACCCCAACTTGCTAGAGCAAGGACTCCCCAGCAGAGCCACCGAATGAAGCTAGCGGGATTATACATGAGTGAATCGCACACTCAACGATACAAAAGAGTCGCCACCGAACTTTATTTAGTCCCAAAGGACAGAGAAAATATTGATAAAACCCAAAGGGAAGATAAATGGGTAAGGGGGTCGGTTATGCGAGAGGAAGGTACTAGCACCTCACGCATCTGTCATACTCGAAGGGAACCGCTTTGCTTACTTCTAGGCTTGGATGAGTTATCTATCTAAAGGCTTCTAACTAAAAAAGAGGAAATAAAAGAGAGATAAAGAAAGTGCTCGCGGGGGATTGGGGTCCTCGTGCCTACGTATCCTCATAGTGCAATGAGGAATTCAGAGCTTCGTAGTTCAGGGAACCAGGAAAGAGAAAGGAGAAGGTGGAAGAAGGTGGCTCGCCAAGATTTTGCAATCTAGTGCCTACGTATCCTTATAGTGCAATGAGAAATTCAGAGCTCCATAGTTTGGGGAACCAAGAATGGAGAAAGAAAAGGAAAGCTAAAATGGTTTCAAAACCAAGAACAAAAGGAGGTAGGAAGACCCTACTGGGGGATACAAATTAAATGGTGTCAAAACCAAGCAAGAAAAGCAAAGGAAGACTCTGCCGAGGAACACAGAAGAATGGTGGTGACTCCGCTGGGGAGAAACCAAAATAATAGTGTCGAAACTAGGAGAATAAAGGAATAAAGGACTAAAACCAAGGTAAATGAAGATTTGCAGGGGATTCGGTTCATAAACTGGAAGGTAGTGATTAACCGAAGAAAGATAAGGGTAAGACTCCATGGGGAAAGCAAAATGTTGGTATTAACAGACAGACTGTGAGGAACCAGAAGAAGAGTAACGAGCCAAGAGAAGATGTTCAACTCTATGGAGAACTCGATATGTTAATTGATAAATAATGGTTAACCGAAAAGAGAAACGAGTTAGTTTTAACTGGCGGACGGTAATCAACCAAAAGGACGGTTGTGGAACCAAGTGAAGGTTGTGACCCAAAAAAGACGTGGTACTTTGACTGAACAAGCAGTACTTGATTGAAGGAAAGGGTATTCGAACCAAAAGAAGATTACTAACCCAAAGATGTGAGTATTTGAACCAAAGAAAGGTTGCTAACTGTAGAGGATATTGGTTTTAACAGAAGGACTATGATTAACCGAAAAGAATGAGTGACTAACCAAGAGAAGGTGATTAACTCAACAAGGGCTCAGTATGTTAATAGATAGACTGTGGTTAACTGAGGAAATGGTGATTAACCAAGAGAAGGTGATCTACCCAAGAAAGATTGGTTTTAACAGGCAGAGTGTGATTAACCAAAGAACGGGTGGTTAACCAAGAGAAGGTGATTAACCCAAGAGGAACTTAGTATGTTAACAAACAGACTGTGATTAACTGAGAAAATGAGCAATCGGTGTTTTAACTGACGGGTAATGCTTAACAGGAAGACTGTGATTAACCGAAGAAACAATATTGCGACTTTGCTGGGGAAGAAAAGAATTAGTTTTAACTAAAGAACGATTGATTAACCAAAGAAAGGGATGGTTACAAATCTTCTTGGGAATCAAAGAACAGCGATTGGCCAAAAGAAAAAGATGTTGGATTGAAAGAAGGAAATTAATCCAAGAGACAATGATTAAGGTGCAAGGAAAAGGTGATTGATCAAAGGTAGGATTGAAAGGAAAGAAAGATCAAGGATCAAACTCAAGATACACCACAACTCGGGAATAGAGGTGACCTATCCCAGGTGTAAGGACCAGACGCCCTTTCCTAGAAACCGTCAGAATGAGGGTAGGAAAAACTCCATCCTCATTCCTTCTCTAGTACCCAAAGTGTAATGCGGAGCTCCGACAAAGAAATGACACAAGTTGTACAGTGCTCCAATATGTTGTGCAGACCTTCGACTCAGCAAGGGATCGAGAGAACAAGGGTCTAAAAGATCTAAAGAGAAGAAAGAAGGAAAACCAACTAGTTGAAATAAAGTTTTGATCAATCGATCAAAAGGGAATGAACAACCCAACAATCTTTCACACGCATCAAAAGATCATTAAAGCAAGTGCACGGGGTAATGATTATACAAAGTTAAGTTCATTCAATGAAGAATAAACTTAATGCAATCAAGAATAAATTGCAAGGCAGTAGCAAACATCAATTATCATGCATCACCAATCATGTTGTCATGTAAACAAGAATTTGCAAGAATGGTCATGATCATACAACGTCAAAAGTGCAAACAATTACATAATCGATAAAATCATGCATCAAGGTATGCATACATGCTTTGAACAGAGGTTAAACAGACCCTAAAATATCCACAAATATCAAGCATATCAATCCATGGAAGTTAAATGGGGAAATAAAACCAAACAAGCTTGAAAAAAATACAAAAATGACATTCTGTCACAGTGTTAATCGGTTAACCATATATGGAAGGAAAATCTTAGAATAAGAAGGAAAAATCAAACACGTCAGGCTTGACGAGTATACGAGTAGGACCTTTGGTCGCCCAAAGCTTTGCCACATGACGTTTGACAATTAGAGATACTTGTTTGACATGGATACCTAGTCACCCAAATGGACTTGGGCCATCCGAATTAGAGTCACTCGCGTAGTGAACGTGGACAGTGACGTGTCCCAAATACTAATTGACTTAGGGTCAGTCAAAGAGTGAAAACCGCTTCCACGATTAAAGGAGACCAAGTCCTCTGATGATCATGTTCCTTGATCGTGAAGTTAGGACAAGTCACCTGCTAGTTCTCTAGCTTAGGTCTAAGGAATATCTATAAATATATCTCTGAGAATGAAATGGAGTCATCAATTCTTCTTACAAACACATATACTGAATTTCGCACCACTCTATATAAATTGACCCTAAGCATTATTCAAATATCATAACTAATACAAACAATCCTACAAACTAAACACATAGTGATTTTATTGTAGTTTGTTAGCATGTACAATAATGTTTATTTTCCAACTACAACTTATAGAGAAAAAAAATACAATTTATAAATACATAAATTCAAATTATGGATAATTGATTTTGTAGTTCCTACTTTTTATAATAAGAATAAATGATACTAAATCCTTTAGTAGGGACTAAACACTATAGCTTTTAACAAGATATAGACAAAAATATTGATAATTTGTATTACAACTTAAAAAAATTAAATAATTACACATCAATCTATAATTTTTCTTCTGCATATCACAAGGATAGAATATAGAGGAGCTAGTTAAATTAATTAAGGAGGTAGAGCTGCCACCTTTTGTTCCTACTTTATGATAAAGCAAAAGCAAGCAAAGGTAAGGAAAAATAGAAATAGAAAAGCAAAGAAAAAGGAAAGTTAAAAAGAAAAGCAATAAAGAAATGAAAGGTAAGGAAGAAAAGAAAAGATAGTAAACAAAAGACAAAAGGTTCTAAAACTCCATCATTATTATCAATTCAAATTCTCCTCAAAAACAATATACAACCAAACAACAATAGTGTTCCTCTCCTTTCCCTCTATAGCTCTACTTAACCAACAACAAAACCACTTCACAAAGTTTCTACCAAGGCATGAATAGAAGTCTTCATCTTCAAACCTCACCAGTGCAACAACAAATGATGGCTGGAAACCCTAATAACTGGTGGAACCCTCCTGCAGCACCTGATCATCTTCCACCTCCTTCCAATTACTTTCCAACTCCTTATCCTCTTCCTCTTCCTTCTTGGCATGACAATCAACATCTTCCTGATAACTCATGGACTCAACTACTCATGTAATTAACTCTAACACTCCCTCAGATACCATAAGAAAATAAATTACTCATCTCTGGTTTTTTCTTCTCCAACACTTATTTTTGTGTATGATTAAAATTTTCTACCACATCTAACCTAATGGTTGCATGTAAATACTATAGTTTGATTTTTGAGTTGAGTGTTATGGTTTTGGAAAATTTAGGAGCGGCGGCGTGGTGTATGAAGAAGATAAGGAACAAGTTATGCTAACTCAGCCTCCTCTTAGTGCTTCTTCTCTTGTTGATCATGTAAAACATGAAAGCTCAGTGAACAACTATGTCTATGGAAATGAAGAGTTTCATGGAACAACAAATTCTACTTGGTCTCAAATAGTGTCGGTGCCGTCTTCTTCTTCCTCCAAATCCAACATGTTGGATTTCTCTAACAGTGCAAGATCTCCATCATCAGATCCATCTTCTGATCAGGTGATTATCATATTAAATATTAATTAACTTCATGATGAATCAAAGCAAGATTTTTTTTTCTTTTATTGGTTTATTAATTACACATGTTTAGTTTTTGTGAAACTTTACTAATTCAAATAAATTGTCTATTGAATTTTACTTTTCAATAAAAAGATATTCTCTTCCAACTTTTTTTTTTCTGAAAATGGTTCTTCTATTCTTTCTGTTTATCTTCTTTAAATAAAATAAATACTAATTTACACAAAAATATAAAATTATATATTCTATTTGATTTGTGTTGTGTTGTGTGATTTTTTACATTTTTATTTATAATTTTTATTAACTAAAGTTATTTTTTCTTTCTCAAAAGTGTAATAGTGGTGCAGCTGGTGGGGCATTGAAGAAAGCTAGGGTTCAACCATCTACAACTCAATCTACCTTCAAGGTATAATTTCAATTTCAAACAATTCTAGATAGATACTTCCAACTCAAAATTCTCTTTTTCAAAAAAAACACACATCATATGTGAGTTGTAACTCTTGTCTTTCATGGTTGTCTTGTTCTTAATATCATGTGTTTTCAAAATCTTTCTTTCTCTTATGATGAAGAACAAAATCAACATATAGTTAAAGTTAAAGTTAGGGTCGTCTTTGAGAGCGTATAAGGCAGATTATTTTATAGAATACAAAATTTGACACATTTAAACTGAGAAAATATCTGGTAAAATATTTTTCGCAGTTAACCTATGATAAAAATATGGCTCATATTTGATTTATGGTTAACCTACACAGTACCTTTGAAAGTCAAGATGAACATGGTTGAAGCAACACATTTACATGGTTTTAGTTTTATGATTTCTTAGTTTCATCTTTCCATTTTCAGGTTAGGAAGGAGAAGTTAGGTGATAGAATTACAGCCCTTCATCAACTTGTTTCTCCATTTGGAAAGGTACATAAGCCTGATTTATTCAATTCAATTGATACTACAACACAATTAGATGTTTTGTTTGTGGTGTTAATCAATCATAACATATTATGTGGATTAAACTTTTCAATGAGTTTCAATATAGATCTAGTGCGTTCTTATCCAATAAAAACATGCACAAAATCGAATTTATTTAATTTTTGAAAATCTATTTTTGTGAAAATTATTTGGATAATACAAAGTTTTGGATTACATTTTCAACAAAAAAAATTCAAATTTGCATATAAAAATAGTACACATTTTTCATTATGTAAACCATTATATTGATTTATTTTTAAAAATTTTTACTGACATTTGTTAATTTAATAAATTACATTTATGATTTTATATGTTTTAAACATAATCGATTTATTCTACAATAATAAAATTTAGTAAATTATATAATATATATTTTGCACCAAACTTGAAATTTTACTTAACTTTAAAATATTATAATATCAGTACTATTTAATGTGCGAAATAGCTTAATTAATATGTATTAATTAAATTAAAAAGGGTAAATTGTTGATCCAACATTCATTTTTAATATATTTTTTCAATATGTTTTCTTATAATATATTACTATAAATATTTTATTGATATTATTAATAAAAATAAAAATTAGTATTTATTTATTTATATTATATGAGAATAAATATTTGTAAATGAATCATCTGTGAATATTAAAAATACTACACATAAGTGTTTTTGGTAATACATATTAATGTGGTATGATCTAGTAAAAAATACTTGATTAGTGCAATAAGTTAACTTATGCTCAAAATTAGAATAAAATTAAAGAAGGTACGTATGAATATTAAATTTGCATTAAAAAGAATAAAAACAATATTAAAGGTAAGTTAATTTTATATTCATCTTTCCCATATTTTTTTATGATAATTTGTTGAAAGTGGAGTTTTTATCTTTTGCAGACTGACACAGCATCTGTCTTATTAGAATCTATTGGTTATATAAGATTCCTTCATAGTCAAATTGAGGTAATAATATTTCTTTTCCTCTCTTCACTTCACACACACATGCTGTTAAAAGTACATTTCATTTTCTTTACTTTTTCCCCGTGGATCATGCAGGCACTAAGTTTACCATACTTGGGAAATGGATCATCAAACATTATCAAGAATCAACATCAACAATCTGTAAGAAAACATTTTTTTTTCAATCTCACTTCCCAATGTAACAAAAGAATAATCACTTTCTCTGCATGTGCTAGCTAGGTTTTTTATATATTGCATGTACACTAATTAATTTGTAATTATGTTGCACTAATTGTGATTATTCTTTAATTAATTATGTTATAGGTTCAAGGTGATAAAAATTGTTTCTTCCCGGAACATCCTGGTCAGGTATTTGATTTATTTATATTAATATATAGATCAGATATATTAATTATTTTATAAATTTATATATGAGTATTTTGATTAGATGAATTAAATTCTAATTGTATTTTATCATTTTATGGTTATAGTTGCTGAATGAAAATTGTTTGAAAAGAAAAGCTGTTAGTGAGGGTTGTGAAGAGGAAGAAGAAAAGAAGGATTTGAGGAGTAGAGGACTGTGTTTGGTTCCAGTTTCATGCACAGTGCAAGTTGGAAGTGATAGTGGAGCTGATTATTGGGCACCTGCTTTTGGTGCTGGATTTCAGTAGATTCATTGGGTTAATTAATTAATTAATTAATTAATATTAATTTGGGTAGTAATTATTGATATATATGTGGATCAAAGCATACAAAGAGGGGATTAGTTGGTGGAAATTTGTATAACATCATGAGCAGTCAATCTGCTATATGTAAAATTATCTAAGGCTGATTGCTCATGATGCTATGTAAAGTTCCTTAATAAAAATGTATGCTAATTAATTACTATCAAGTATACATATTTGCAAGCCATTGTTAATTAATTAAGAATCTTTAACTTTGCAAATAATCAACTTTTAATTTATTTTTATTTCTTCATTAGCTTAATTTATATCATGCATTAGCAAAAGGATATCATTGCATTGCAGAATATATACTTACAAATAAGAAAATCAGCCATGCAAAATTATGATTGTTACATCTTTAGCTTGGAAGCATAAGACATTAAAAAAATTAAACTTTGAAGCATAAGCAAGCTAAGTTTTGTGGGAGAAAGAGGACGATGTTAGTTGTTGTTATATTTGAATTGACTTATTTTTATAGGTAAAATGTTAAATAATATGTCTTGAAAGTTGCTGCACGTCTTGGCTTTGAGTTTCTCTATGATATGATATTATTAAAAAGTTTGATTTTGACTCATTTGATTCTACGGTTGATTCTAGATGATAGGATATAATCATGATTTATTTACTTGTGTTTGATTCTACATACTTGTTGTTGAAAAGATTTTGGTTGAAAAATGTTTAATTATCATAATTGAATTGAAAAGATTTAATTGAATTAGCATTTGATTAAAACATTTAATTAGATATGTTTTGAAAGAAAGATTTAACTAAATATGTTTTGAAAGAAAGATTTATGTCATCTTTGTTTAATCCAAGATTAAAGCTGGTTTACTTGGGTCGAGTGATAAGGAACAAAATTTTAGAAAATACCGAATTTGATTCTCTCTAGTGGAAATAATACTTGGCCAGTGTTAGTACCTCTCGGCACGAGTTCTGGATTACTAGGACTTCTTTCCTCTAGGAACCAGAGTGGAAAAGAAATTTGAAGCTGGTTTGTAAAAATTTTGATTTAGAAAGATTTAATTAAATAAATCTTGCATGAAGATATTTAATTAGAGTTGCTTTAAATGCAAGATTTTGTTTGGAGAATATTTGATTTGGTTAGATTTTAATTGTACTCAAATGGACTTTTGGATGGATCGTACATAATTTTTATATGAAGAGATTGTTCTCCTTATTTGAAGACACACTTTTAGAGAGAATATTTACTCAATTGAAGAGTTTTGTTGAGTCAAGTTTTTGTAAGTTTTTTGTGTAATATTTTATCTCAAAGAGTCTTTCATATTTTATAGGGATATAGTATTTGGTATGTAATTTTGATTTCAGTCACACCACAAATATTTGGTTCTTGCAAACACTTGGGAGAATGTTTGAACGAAAGTGAAGGGATCTCAAATTTAGAGGAACCTGAGTTAAAATTCATAGGTAGTATTAAGAAAAGAGTATTGAACTGAGAGAGTTCAAATGAGACTACTTTAATTAGTAAATTTCCTTACTTTTAGGTTACAGCCACATTGCACCAAATTGGATTAGCGATTTTTTTTCTTTATTTATTATTTATTATATTATTAATCATTTTAATTCATATTATCCGGAAATAATTATAAACTGTGAAGCCGAAAAAATACTAGACACTAATAAGTTTCAAAAATATGTAAAATACATAGGTACTTACTGACTTATTTTGCAAGTAAGTAATAAAAAATCTCTAATTTATCAGAAAAATATGATAAAATTCTTTTATAAACTCTTTAATTGTGTATTTACTAAATACAAAAAACACCTAAAATATATGAAATCCATCAATCAAGCACCAAAGTTGGCTAAGCTAGAAATCGGCAGCAAAATTTGGCTAAGTCAAAAACATGTATCATAGCTTGCTAAGCTACAAACCGGCGCTAGAGCTTGCTTAGCCAAAAATAGATGACAAAAGTTGGCTAAGTCAGAAGCAGACACCAAGGTGCGTTAAGCGAGCTCTGAACCTCTTTAGCAAGCTGAGGCTACTAAAAACAACTTGGATGAGTTGGCATAACTTGATGGTGAAGAAACTAGGCACACCAAGCAAGCTCTAAACATCATTTAGCGAGTCAAGGCGACAAAAGAAAGTTGCAGATGAGTTAGAATTACTTAACCAAAAAGAAAGTAAGAGCATTAAGCAAGCCTGGGCAGTGCACTTAGCGAGTCTACCCTTTCCAACTCTATAAATAACGGTGCAAGGAAGTTCATTTGAGAGATTAATTCATTGGAAATCAAGATGGTTCCTCACTAAAACTAGGTTCTCAAGCTGGAATTACTAAGAAGATTGGGGAAAAGTGTTATTTGATTAATCGTTAACAGATACTTTTCAACTTCTTTTTTCTAAGGTTTAAATATAATGCTACGATGAGTAAGCGTAACTAATTTTCTCTTTTCTGGAGTTAGATGTAGGTTATCCTCTTAATTATGTTTTGATTTCGGCCATGGCATTCTATGTAGTTATATTTAAGTGTTAATATTGATGGATTCTTCGTTCTTAATACTTGTTTTGGATTCACTACCTAAAAATATACTTTTATGGTATGACTTGATATTTGAAAGGTACTGGTCATTAACAGATCCAAGTCTATCATCTATTGGTTGCTAAAGTCTAGACATGATTTTAGGTTTAATATTCACACGAATAATGACATTGGAGAAAGTAGACATTAATATTTGCATTTGCTGTTGAAACTTAATATTGACATATTAATTAATAGGTTGAGAGATGATATATTAGGTAATGCAATTTATCTCACGTAGTTGACTCAAACATGAGCTACGATGAGAGCCTTTGGAGGTAATATTAATAACTAGTTAGACTTACATATTAATGGTCAAGAATGCTACACAAGAACGAGTCAATGAAGTCTAACTCCAACAAATATTTCTCACTATTGAAACACCGAGGTTGATTTTTTTGATATTTTACTTTTCAAGTATTTGCCAAATGATCAATCTTCTGATAACCCAAACTTAGATTAATAAAACAATTGAACATTATTTGAAACACAACCAATCTATGTAGAGAGGATAAATCTTGTACTTTCTTTCTGCACTGCAACAAAATGGCATTGCTGTCGAGAATTGACCTTAATTTTTAAAGACATTATGAAAGTTTTTATCATTTTAAGTATTCTATTGATATTTTTTTTATATTTTTTTTAGTTCAACAAACCTATTAATAGCTGGGTAGCTCTGTTTAAAGTTATTTATGTAAGGTAATAAAACATTTGTCAAAGCTCTCACAAAGAATACAAGAGGTGCCTATACACTGGAAAATTTATTACTTTGAGTTTTGTATTGGAAATAATCTCACATGACATTGCCCTATATCAAATGAAGTATTAAAATTCCTTAACAACCAACAAAGACCACGAAAATACCAAAGCAACAACAACTCAAATTATAAATGTTATGTAGAATCCGTCAACAAACAACAACCATACTTAAATTTTTCTCAAAAGATTACATCAAGATTGGAGGATACACTAAATAAGTACATCCACTTGTCTATAGAAGGACACAGACTCCTCCTCTAAATAATAATACATCAAGATTTGATGAGACGATGAATAAATTCATGCAAGTGACTATGGAAGGCCATAAAACTGTATACGCTTCAATCGAATACCTCGTGACTAAATTAGTCATTTAGTTAGTCATCTACTTTCTCAACAAACCAATTCGAACACTCTAACTAATGTAGATGAACACATCAAAGTAAGTGAAAATGGAAATGATGAAAAGATGGACGAAGTTGTTGTTGAATCAAAAAAGGAATAAAGTGGGAAAGAATTTGAAGAAAAAGAGATAGAGAAAGATTTCATTGAAAAGGTAGAAACAAAATTTCACAGAACAACGGAGGGAAAACATGAAAAATCCATATTCAATGTTTTTCATATCCTCTCAAAATAATGTTATTAAGCACATCATTCTATAAAGTCTTGAAGAAAAAAACTTCTTATCTCAAATTCATAAGAGAGAACAGGAAGAAGACATTAAGGTATATTAAGGAACCTTAACACGGGCATCGAGCTAATGACGTTAAACAAGGTCTTGTTGGAAGGTAGCCTTAGCTTTAGATTTCCCTTAATACCAATTGTATTTTCTTTATACTAATATAAATAACAGGTTTTAAGATTATGTAGGAATTCAACTAAGCGAGATCATCTACTATCTAAGGGAAAACTTCAATGACATTATATTTTTTGAGTTTACACAAGTGCGCCCAACAAAATGTTATTGTCTCTAAGTGAAAATTTTAGGTCCTAGATGCAGATTTTTGATTCAGTTCCTTAGTTTTATATGATATAGCCTGAGGACAGGCCAAATTTTTTAAGACGGGATGGATGTTGTGACTAAAGCTCACCAAAATTTGTGACATTTTTTTTCTATTTATTTTTAGTTATTTATTTAACCTAACATTTTCAAATTCATATATGAGTACTGTTGGACAAGTTTTGAAAATTTTGTGAATTTTTGTCTGAGGTTGTTTGTCTGCAAATGATTTAATAATTTGAAATTTTCAAATGCAAATAAATCAAAGCTTAGGATAAAGAAAAAATCAAGAATGAATGAATGATAAAAAGCCTATAAACTCAAATTTTTTATTCATGATTAATATTGTGATTATTTTTAAATTATTAACATGATCATGAATTAACTGCTTAATTCAAAGTTTTACTTTACTTCTTGTTTTACGAGAACATGTCAATGTAAGTCAAAAATCATAAACCTAAATCAAGTGAGATGATTGCATACTTCATGTTTTACATAAGTGAATGAGAGTAGACATGCATTTTAACTAGGATAATTTTGCATAGAAATTGATATTAGTTTATGTATATGATATCATGGATATGATTAAGGCATTGTTTGTTTATCGAGTAAAAGTCTACATGACCAAAAAGCATACTTTGTGAGGGCGC